TCACCCACATTCCCCCCGTATTCAATCGGTGAGAAGTAAGTTCCACTCGAACAGCTTCTTCCTGCAAACCACTGCCCTGTGGAACCGACTCACGACAATCTTAACCTATTCAAGGCTAGAGTTAATTGTTATCTCACTCACCTATATACACAAATGGCCTCCAAATGCAACCCTCTACCTCGAGCGGTCCCCGGGCCTTGTAGCGATTTTCCAAGCGTCGCTCAGATGCGGCACAAGGCCGAAAGTATGGGGCACTTAGTGAGGATCGAACTCACTACTCAGTCGTAATTGTTCTAGCGAGACAAGCTTGCTAACCATTACACCACCTCGAGGTCCCCTCCCCGGGCCTTGTAAAGGATGACCCTGACTGTAAAAAAAGTCTACTGATCGTTGCTGAACGTTGCTTAACGTCGATGATCAGACAAAAATCGGTTACTTACTAAGCTAGTTTCCTTACATTATCTGGGTTTTTTTTCTGTTTTTTTTCTGTTTTTTTTCTGTTTTTTTTCTGTTTTTTGTTTTTTTACTTTTTTGTTTGTTTTTTATTTTGTTTGTTTCTTGTTTTCTTGTTTTCCTTTTTTTCTTTTTTCTTTTTTTTTTTCATTAGGTCTCTCCCACTGATCAGGTTCGACGTTGCTTAACTTTGATGAGCATACAAGTACTGGTCCTTTCCGTGTGATTTGACCGTAAAGCCAACTTCTTCAAAAGGGAGAAAAGAAACATAAAAATTTAAATTTAAAACTTGCCAGTTAACCAGGATCAGCTTCGCCTTTGAAACAAATCAAATAAAGATGGCGTATAGCCCCAATAAAATAAAGATGATATAAAAATTAAATCAAATCAAAACACCCCAAAAACGTAAGCACAAACTAAAAAAAATCAGAGCAAACTTTTTTGGAAGAAAACAGACGTTGACTTTCTCTCGGTTTATTCTCATTCAACGTTTCGTATATTTTCTTTAAATCGTTTGCAGCTTGTTTTAATTTTGTTTGACGTGAACTGAAAGAATCCATCTTATTTTAATTAGGTAGCGAATGGGTTTCTCCGAAAAATGCTGAAGGGCACGTTTTCCTTATTATGATTCTCAAATGCTAAGGTCGGTAGACGTTATTTACGTTGTTAAAAAAAGAAAATAAGAAAAGATGGCGTCTACTCAGACGAGAATATCCACTTTCAAATATAATGGAAAGTTTAATAAGAAATAATGTTGAACTGGAAATAAAATCCATTAATTCCATAGAAATTACTTTGTTTCCGTTTCGGATGCGAAAATAAAACCAGCAAATATGGGACAATCTCCTCAAAGATGAAGAAAAGACGAAGCAATAGAAATGTGGTTCTACAAAAAGATGCATTTTAATTTTGCACATGCGCGTTGTTTGTTTTAGATTTTGTCAACTGTATTCTCATTTTCCTATAGAAATGTACGACTAGTGGTTATTTTTTTTATAAAAATATTGCTGATATTTTTACCATAATGTATTTTTGTACATGTGAGACACCAAACAAAAATTAAAGCACTATTTGCCCATAGCTGGGACCCTATCAGGTGCTACCACCCAGGGTCAGTGGGGACCTGAGAACAACAGCAATTAAGAGATGGTTCCACGCTCCTCAAAACATCCAAATCTCACGATCAGAGGCCTTGTTGCTGGATATAGTTTATCATCATACCCAAGACTCGACTCTATCAAGTCCTACCACGCTATGTCAGGGCAGAGCTGGGAACAACAGCAATTAAGAGGCAGTTCCACGCTACTCAACGCCTCTAAATCTCACGATCAGAAGCCTTGCTGCCGGCATTAGTTTATCGTCATACCCAGGACTAGATCCTAATATTAAGCTATCACCTCGGGTCAGGGGTGACCTGGGAACGACAGCAGTTAAGAAGTGGTTCCACGCTCCTCAACGCCTCCAAATCTCACGATCAGAGGCCTTGCTGCCGGATATAGTCTGTCATCATCCCAAGATTCGACTACCACCCTGGGTCAGGGCGGACATGGAAACAACAGCAATTAAGAGGTGGTTCCTTGCTCCTCAAAACCTCCAATCTCTCGATCAGAGACCTTGCTGCCAGATGTAGTTTATCGTCATACCCAGGACTATATTTTGTCTGAATCTGATTACTTAATAAAATGTTATAACAATGCATCCGCTATAATTTGAGCCTGTCTAATCTGTTCTTTATAACAAATCCTAATTTACATATTTTTTTCTTTTTTCTTCACAGATACTACGATACTAACCTCCAGGCGAGTACCTCGTTGCGCCCTCTTGGTCTCACGCTTTCAGCTGACATGAAGTCGAGTGATTATATTGAATCCATTGCTAGGACGACTGCTAAGAAAATTGGTTCTCTGTGTTGTGCCAGACAAATTCTTTCATCAGAATCCGTCATACACATTTATAAATCTACCATTTGTACCTGGGTGTAAGTTAGTGTTATACCGGAACATACCTATTCTATTGTTAATAGACTCTCAGACATATAATAAGTAGTAGTAGTAGTAGCAGTTGCCAGTGAGCTCAGTGAGTTGGTGAGTCAGTCGATGTCGGACATTAAAGTATCAACCACCACAACTAGATTGCTGCGTCATTAACTATTATATCAAGTCCCTAACGTTTTGTACGTCGAACCTTTTTAGGACCGACTTAGTGAAATACAAGCCTCCACTGTGAAACTACTCTATAACAGTTAGGTATTAGAAACTGCCATCTTTTAATCATCACAAAGAACCATTTTTGCCTTCCATCAGCATGGCCAATGCTAACCTTCAAGAGAGCAACTCATTGTGCCTTCTTGGTCTCACGTTTTCTACTGACGTGAAGTGGAGTGATTATATTGAATCCATTGCTAGGTCGGCTGCTAAGAAAATTGTTTCACCGAGTCTTGCCATTCATTTTTCCTTGTCAGAATCTACGTTACACATTTAACAAACTCCCATTCGTCCATTAACTGGGGCAAGGAATAGCTTGTTAAATTTTAACGCCTCTAAAATGAAATTTCTCTTTATTAATCATCTGATAGACCCTTTTTTGCCTTCCATCAGCATGGCTGATGCTAACCTTCAAGAGAGTGACTCATTGTGCTTTTTCAGGCTAACATTCTTTGATTACATGAAGTCGAAAGATTATATCAAATCAATTGTTAGGTCAGCTGCTAAGAAAGTTGGTTCACTGTGTCATGTGCGACAATTTTTCTCTCCAGAATCTATCTTACAGATTTATAAGTTAACCATTCACCATGTTTTGCATATTGCTACCATATAGGGTCTGGTGCTCTTGCTATATACTTATAGATTCTTGATAAAATTCGCATCTTGGCTTAAGTCACTTTCCTACTGCAGTAATGTAGCTTCTCTGTGCTTTTTCTATAGATACTTTTATGGTAATTGTTCTGATGAACTTTAGACTTTATGAATTTAGAGCACAGTACTAGACTGGCAACAAGGCCTCATAATTTTACAGTTGAAATGGCTAGATGTAACCGTAATTTCTATGCTGATAGTTTCTTCTCTTACACTTCTCATTTGTTGAACTCTCTTCTGGCTTCTTGCTTTCCAGCCAACTTTGATCTTCAACAATTTGCTGTTAACTGGGGCAATGAATGGCTTGTTAAATTTTAACCCCTCCAAAACAAAACTTCTCTCTATTAATCATCTGAGAGACTCCTTTCCGCTTCTCATCAGTATAGGTGATGCTAACATCCGGGAGAGTGAATTATTGCACCTTCTCGGCTAGGAAAGTTGATTCACTGTGTCGTGCCAAGAAATATTTTCTCCCCAGAATCCATCTTACACATTTACAAATCTACAATTCATCTGTACATTTAACATTGCTGCCATATCTGGTCTAGTGTTCCTGCTACATATCTCGAGATCCTAGACACAATTCAAAGAAGGGTCTGTAATATTATCGGTCCTGATCTGGCATTTCGATTTTAGCCATTTTCTAAACGCCGTGACATAGCTTCTCTCTGTCTTTTCTACAAACGTTTCCAAGACAATTGTTCTAATGAGCTCCCCCCCCTTGGTAACGCGGCTGCAGGAATTTAAATGCACTACGAGACTGGCAAGTGGATCTCACCGTTTATAGTGTTGAACTAGTTAGATGCAACCGTAAGTTCTATTCTAATAGTTTCTTCTCTCGCACTTCCTGCCTGTGGAACTCTCTTTCAGTTTCTTGCTTCCCTGCACCCCCTACGATCTTCAAAAGTTTAAATGCCATGCCAGTCGCCATCTTCTGTCTTGTAACCCGTTCTTTTATTGTCCTTTCCCCTCACTAAAGTTTTTTTTATTCTCTTTCACTCCCCCAAAATTCTTGCGTCTTAGTGGCATTATCGCCTTGCTTAGAGTGAAATGATTTTTTTTTAAAGTAAAAGAATATACGGAGTAATGTGATACCATATTATTTTTGTTCGATTCGTTTGTACTCGAATTTATGCAGTTTTATTTTATTGTTACTCTAATTGGACACTTGTAAAACTAAAGCGTGGCAGAATTTAAATACTTTCTGAGACGACAGAATGAACCGACCAATTGTTTTCGGCATCTTTAGGAATGGGTCGTATATATGAATTCCACTTGAGGCGTGGAGTGGACTTGAGACTCCATAAACGTTCTAAAGAAACAGAGAGGAAATTAGGGTGATTCCACCGTGTGAATGTAGCATAGTGAGTCTTAGCTGCTAGTGTCTAAAGTGGCGGCCCTAAAGAATGGAACTCGTTTGAACACTTGATATGGAAATAACGACAAAGTAGCAATAGACTTTGCGTCTGTGTGGAAAGGGATTGTAGGGTGGAAAATAAGTAACCCTCCACAAGTAACGATATAACCACTGCGGTTCATTATTTTGCGGAAATTCCTTGTATATGCTTCACTCCGAATCACGTTAAAACATCGGCTCTCATAGTTAAGCAACGTCGAATCTAGTCAGTGCCTAGATGGGCGAGTGCTTGAGAATACCAGATGCTGTAAATTTGGATGTATGGCCGGTACGGCTTACAGTCATATCACTTTGAAACGCCGATTCTCGTACGATCACAAAAGTTAAGCAACGTCGAGCCTGATCAGTGCCTAGATGGGTGACCGCTTGGGAATATCAAGTGCTGCAAGCTTAGACATTCGGGTGGTGTAATAGATAACACTTCTGAATTCGAAATTGGAAAGCCGAGTTCGAATTCAAGTCGGGTTCGTTATAAGTAAATAACTCTCGGAAAGTTATGAAAACGTCTTTTCCTCCCATGGAACTGACTCCCAAGAGGATGTTTCCATGATGACTACAATCTTAACCTGTCCAAGTCTAGTGTCAACCGTTATCTTCCTATCTATTCATATAAACTACCCCTTAACGTAACCCTCTACCTCGAGTGGCCCCCCGGGCCTTGTACAGGGCGAACCTTACTGAGAAAAAAAAAGAAATCCTTCAGAAGCGGTTAATTAGTAAAACTTGTATCAATTATTATGATTATCTCTAAAAAAAAATTCGTACAATTTGAGAATATTTTTTCTGGCTTCAAATAACCTGCAAAAGGTTGATAAGCCGTAAAAAACCAAATCAATCCAAATTGATGCACAATCCCACACCGCTAAAGTGATCTCTTGTTCAGGCATTCAAAAGTATCATTCGTTTACGCGTGTATTATTCAGCCTACCCACGTGTTTCGAGCGGATGCTATATGTTCAGGGAGGAGTGCAGAGCGAATTAACGATGTTTACAACTGGCGACTGTTATCTGATACTAAACTATCAAAGACTCTCGATAGAACTTATGGTGGCCCCGACGTGCAACTAACGAGAATTCATAGCCGTCAGTTTTTCAGTGCTCTTCATAAAGCAGACATACTGCATTGTTGCACTTCTGTTCGCTAATAATGACTAAAAGGAATTAATTCTAGCATAAAGTGGACTTTATTCACTACCTTTATCTATTTGGCTTCATGTCTTTCAGAAACTTTCATTGCTGGATGTCTATATATATATATATATATATATATATATATATATATATATATATATATATATATATTTATAAAAAAAAAGAGTTATAGTGGTTCCAACGATAGAAAAGTACGTATATTAAAAAGAAGAAGAGAGGTGCCGCAAACGTTTTTGGTTGTAATGTGGATTTATTTAGAAAAAAAATATTATGCTTTGTTTTACATAATTTTACGACACGTGTTTCTGGTCTCGCGACCGTCTTCAGGTAAAAAGCGGAGATTTCCACACATTATTAAAATAATTAATTTTTTTTTCTTATGTTCAATGTAAAATATTCTCGATATATATATATATATATATATATATATATATATATATATATATATATATATATATTCTTGGAATACGTTTAGTAATAGTAGTATCCTATGATAAAATGATACCGTATACAGTTTGAAAAATCCTGCGAATTTAAAATTAAAATTCGTAGGTGAAAATGGTCATTAACTAAAGGTATCTTAATTCCAATTGTTTAACGAAAATAAACATTGAGCGCTCTTTGTGAGTCAGTTTTAACATATTTCAAAATTCTATGTTTTTGTTAATAGGACTCACCTGGATTATACCAACGGATTACTACCTATATATATATAAATATATATATATATATATATATATATATATATATATATATATATATATATATATATATATTGTCATCCACAGGCAACTTTTTTGCTGTATCAGAGCTCATCAGTGTGGCTAGACGTCCGGTTGCCTCTAGCTAGGATCGAAACCCGGCTGAATTGGCGTCAGTCGAAGATTCTAAACCGTTGGCACACAGCAGGGATGAAGGTGAATTTAAGCGTATTTATTTTTAGCTAAACACACAGAGACTGAAAAACTTGATCCGCTTTACCGAAGAGTCTTGCATTATTAGCCGTAATAGTCACTGTTTACAAACTCACACTTCCTCCCCAGAGAGCTCAACCAAAATAAATTTTTCAAGACATATATATTCAAAATATATATATATATATATATATATATATATATATATATATATATATATATATATATACTTTTGAATATATATATATATATATATATATATATATATATATATAAATATATATATATATATATATATATATATATATATATATATATATATATATATATATATATAGATATATAGATAGATAAAGATTAAAATTAGTGGTAAATATACATATACATATGCAAAATATATAAATATATATACATACATGCATACAATTACATATATTTTTTGAATAAAATAAAAATTCGAAGTGGATAGAATCCAGGTAGAACTCAATGTTCAGGAGAGAGTAAGAATATAATAAAAGGCTTAAACACTAATATTCCATGGTCATAATTTATAAGAAAACAAAAAACAACTCTGGAAATAAAAAATAGAATTCTATTTTTTATTTCCGGAGTTGTTTTTTATTTTCTTTTGAATTTGTAGGTCTGATGAATTGGATCGTATTTACGATTCCAATGGAATAAATTATATATAAAATGGAATATATATATATATATATATATAAATGGAATATATATATATATATAAATGGAATATATATATATATATATATATATATATATATATATATATATTTTGACTGCGATAGGGTGTCCAACGCTGATCTTCTCGCAAAATGCAACATTGGTGGAATTGAGACTTTCCTGATGCAGTCACGACTCCCCTGGGCTGGGTTTGGGTTTATTTTATTTTACAGGATATCAACACCTACATGGGTTATTTTATGCCGACATGATTTTTAGTATATTTTCTTACGAATAGAATGTGTATTCTTAGTAAGAGATTAGTTTGATGATCAGGTTTCATTGATGTATTTTTGTAAAGAGGTTTTTTTGTCAAAAGTTACAATGTATTATTGGTAATATTTCTTTTTTTTTTTAAATTTATCGCTGGTAACTTCTTTTCAAAAAGATATTGCTAGTAATATTTTTCATATGTATTCCTAGTAATTTCTTTTTCAAAAATGTATTGTTTGTATTTTTATTATAAAAATCTATTTTTATACTTTCATAGTGTTTTGTTCCTAGTTTAAGGGTTACTTATTTGCCCAGAGCTGAGATCCTTAACAGGGGCTACCACCCCGGGTCAGGGTGGACTTGGTAACAACAGCAATTAAAAGGTGGTTCCACGCTCCTCAAAACCTCCTGATTATAAGCCTTACTGCTAGATGCAGTTTATCGTCATACCCAGGACGTCACTAGGTTGATTATGTTGCAAGGATGAAAAATGACAGAATAACTAAGTTCCTCATGTATAGCCAGCTTGACAATTGGACAAAGGACTGTAGGACGGCCATGATTCAGGTATTAAGACAAGCTAAAGAGTAACCGCTCAGCTGTCAATGTGCTTCATACTAACTCCGAGCGTGTTACCCTGGATAGAAACTAACTGGAGATATTTGTGCCAGAGTGTTATCAGAAATTTCGAAATACGTCGAAAGACAACGGCAAAAACTGTCAGCAAATATGCCTCTTGTTATGTCCCGAGATCCTTGCTGTTGCACAATATGCGGGCTTGTATGCAGGTCACTAGCAGGACTGAAGTGTTACATACGATACAAACATAAAAACAGAATTAGGTTGTTGGATCCTCATACGTCGGAATCGACGGGAGAGCCTACCATAGACATATTACATTAAACGTTATATAGTGGACACTCGTATTTGAAATAGACGTCTCATTTTTATTTTGTTTTTTTTTTGAAGCAGTGTGTATTACGTCTATCGTCCTGCACATTCGAGAAATATGAATAAAGCAAATGTGTTCACCGGCAGGGATCGAACCTTGCATCTCCCTTTGTAGGGGAACCCACTGTTTGATCCGGCATGGTTTACTGCTCGGTCACGAAGACTGTCACAGTTAAGCAAGGCTCTATTTTCCCTTTTTAAGGAAAGCACAGCCTCTTCACTATTTTTCTCGAAAAAGAACAGCTTTCTGGACTCTAACCAGGGCATTCCTGATGAAGTTTGCGGCCAATAACTGGATAAAATGCACATTCAGTTAACCAAAAAGCGACTGGTACTAGCTAATCGATGAGGACCAATTCCACTTCATGACGAGGCCCGGCCACATGTCGACAGGATGATACTGCAGAAGTCCACCGATTTGGGATACGAGATTTTGGCAAGTTCACTATATTCCCCTGGTCTCTCGCCAACTGACTGCTACCTTTTCAAGCACCTTGACAATTTTTTTTGTTTGTGTGTTTGTTTCTTTCTTTCTTTTGTTCCTTCTTTCTTTCATCCTTTTTTTCTTTCTTTCTTTCATTCATTCTTATTCACTGTCCTCTTTATTACTACTATTTTCTTTCTTTTTTCTTTCTTTCTTTCATTCATTCTTATTCACTCTCCTCTTCTTTATTACATCATTTTCTTTCTTTATTTCTTTCATCCTTTCTTTCTTTCTTTCTTTCTTTCTTTCTTTTTTTCTTTCTTTCTTTCTTATTCACTCTCCTCTTCTTTATTACTATCATTTCCTTTCTTTCTTTCTTTCTTTCTTTCTTTCATTCATTCATTCTTATTCACTTTCCTCTTCTTTATTACATGATTTTCTTTCTTTATTTCTTTCATCCTTTCTTTCTTTTTTCTTTCTTATTCGCTCTCCTCTTCTTTATTACTATCATTTCCTTCCTTTCTTTCTTTCTTTCTTTCTTTCTTTCTTCCTTTCTTTCTTTCTTTCTTTCTTTCATTCATTCTTATTCACTCTCCTCTTCTTTATTACATCATTTTCTTTCTTTATTTCTTTCATCCTTTCTTTCTTTCTTTCTTTCTTTCTTTCTTTCTTTTTTTCTTTCTTTCTTTCTTATTCACTCTCCTCTTCTTTATTACTATCATTTCCTTTCTTTCTTTCTTTCTTTCTTTCTTTCATTCATTCATTCATTCTTATTCACTCTCCTCTTCTATATTACATCATTTTCTTTCTTTATTTCTTTCATCCTTTCTTTCTTTTTTCTTTCTTATTCGCTCTCCTCTTCTTTATTACTATCATTTCCTTCCTTTCTTTCTTTCTTTCTTTCTTTCTTTCATTCATTCATTCTTATTCACTTTCCTCTTCTTTATTATATGATTTTCTTTCTTTATTTCTTTCATCCTTTCTTTCTTTCTTTCTTTCTTTTTTTCTTTCTTTCTTTCTTATTCGCTCTCCTCTGCTTTATTACTATCATTTCCTTTCTTTCTTTCTTTCTTTCTTTCTTTCTTTCTTTCTTTCATTCATTCATTCATTCTTATTCACTTTCCTCTTCTTTATTATATGATTTTCTTTCTTTATTTCTTCCATCCTTTCTTTCTTTCTTTCTTTCTTTTTTCTTTCTTTCTTTCTTATTCGCTCTCCTCTTCTTTATTACTATCATTTCCTTTCTTTCTTTCTTTCTTTCTTTCTTTCTTTCATTCATTCATTCTTATTCACTTTCCTCTTCTTTATTATATGATTTTCTTTCTTTATTTCTTTCATCCTTTCTTTCTTTTTTCTTTCTTATTCGCTCTCCTCTTCTTTATTACTATCATTTCCTTCCTTTCTTTCTTTCTTTCATTCATTCTTTCTTTCTTTCATTCATTCTTATTCACTCTCCTCTTCTTTATTACATCATTTTCTTTCTTTATTTCTCTCATCCTTTCTTTCTTTTTTCTTTCTTTTTTTCTTTCTTTCTTTCTTATTCGCTCTCCTCTTCTTTATTACTATCATTTCCTTTCGTTCTTTCTTTCTTTCTTTCTTTCTTTCTTTCATTCATTCATTCTTATTCACTTTCCTCTTCTTTATTACATGATTTTCTTTCTTTATTTCTTTCATCCTTTCTTTTTCTTTCTTTCTTTCTTATTCGCTCTCCTCTTTATTATTACTATCATTTCCTTCCTTCCTTTCTTTCTTTTCTTTTTTTCTTTCTTTCTTTCTTATTCACTCTCTCTTCTATATTACATCATTTTCTTTCTTTATTTCTTTCATCCTTTTCTTTCCTTCTTTCTTTCTTTCTTTCTTTCTTTCTTCGCTCCTTTCTTTATTACATCGTTTTTTCTTTCTTTATTTTTTCATTCTTTTCTTTCTTTTTTTTTTCTTTCTTTCTTTTCTTTCTTTTCTTTCTTATTCGCTTTCCACTTCTTTATTACTATCATTTCCTTCCTTTCTTTCTTTCTTTCTTTCTTTCTTTCATTCTTATTCACTCTCCTCTTCTTTATTACATCGTTTTCTTTCTTTATTTTTTTCATTCTTTCTTTCTTTTTTCTTTCTTTCTTTCTTTCTTTCATTCATTCTTATTCACTCTCCTCTTCTTTATTACTATCATTTCCTTTCTTTCTTTCTTTCTTTCTTTCTTTCATTCATTCATTCTTATTCACTTTCCTCTTCTTTATTATATGATTTTCTTTCTTTATTTCTTTTTCATCCTTTTTTTTTTTTTTCTTTCTTATTCGCTCTCCTCTTCTTTATTACTATCATTTCCTTCCTTTCTTTCTTTCTTTCATTCATTCTTTCTTTCTTTCATTCATTCTTATTCACTCTCCTCTTCTTTATTACATCATTTTCTTTCTTTATTTCTTTCATCCTTTCTTTCTTTTTTCTTTCTTTTTTCTTTCTTTCTTTCTTATTCGCTCTCCTCTTCTTTATTACTATCATTTCCTTCCTTTCTTTCTTTCTTTCTTTCTTTCTTTCTTATTCACTCTCCTCTTCTATATTACATCATTTTCTTTCTTTATTTCTTTCATCCTTTCTTTCCTTCTTTCTTTCTTTCTTTCTTTCTTATTCGCTCTCCTCTTCTTTTTTACTATCATTTCCTTTCTTTTCTTTTCTTTTTTTCTTTCTTTCATTCATTCACTTTTCATTCTTTTATTACATTTTTCTTTCTTCTTTCTTTCATCCATTCTTTTTTTTTTTTATTTCTTTCTTCCTTTCTTTCTTTTTCTTTCTTTCCTTCGCTTTCTTTCTTTCTTTATTTCTTTCTTTCTTTCATTCTTATTTCCTTCCTATATTACATCATTTCTTTCTTTCTTTCTTTTTCTTTCTTTCTTTCTTTTTCTTTCTTTTCTTCGCTCTCCTCTTCTTTATTACATCATTTTCTTTCTTTTTTTTCTTTCATCCTTTCTTTCTTTCTTTTCTTTCTTTCTCTTTTCTTTTTCTTTTTTCTTTCTTATTCGCTTTCCTCTTCTTTATTACTATCGTTTTTCTTTTTCTTTATTTTTTTTTCATTTCTTTTTCTTTTTTTTTACATCTTTTCTTTCTTTCTTTCTTTCTTTTCTTCTTTTCTTTCTTTTTTTCTTTCTTCATTCTTATTCACTTTCCTCTTTATTACTATCATTTCATTTCCTTCTTTCTTTCTTTCTTTCTTTCTTTCATTCTTATTCACTCTCCTCTTCTTTTATTACATCGTTTTTCTTTCTTTATTTTTTTCATTTTCTTTCTTTCTTTTCTTTTTTTTTTCTTTTTCTTTCTTTTCTTTCATTCATTTCTTTCTTCTATCTTTCCTCTTCTTTATTACTATCATTTCCTTTCTTTCTTTCTTTCTTTTTTCTTTCTTTCATTCATTCATTCTTTCTTCACTTTCCTCTTCTTTATTACATTTCCTTTTTTTTCTTTCTTTCTTTTCTTTCTTTCATCCTTTTTCTTTTCTTTTACATCTTTCTTTTTTTATTTCTTTTCTTTCTTTCTTATTCTTTCTCCTCTTTTCTTTTTACTATCATTTCCTTTCTTTCTTTCTTTCTTTTCTTTCTTTCTTTCATTTTCATTTCTTTGTTTTCCTCTTCTTTATTTATTACATGATTTTCTTTTTTTATTTCTTTTTCATCCTTTTTACTTTCTTTTCCTTTTTTTTTCTTTTCTTTCTTCTCTTCTTCTTTATTACTATCATTTCCTTCCTTTCTTTCTTTCTTTCTTTCTTTCTTTCTTTCTTATTCACTCTCCTCTTCTATATTACATCATTTTCTTTCTTTATTTCTTTCATCCTTTCTTTCCTTCTTTCTTTCTTTCTTTCTTTCTTATTCGCTCTCCTCTTCTTTATTACTATCATTTCCTTTCTTTCTTTCTTTCTTTCTTTCATTCATTCATTCTTATTCCTTTTCCTCTTCTTTATTACATGATTTTCTTTTTTTTATTTCTTTCATCCTTTCTTTCTTTTTTTTTCTTATTCGCTTTCCACTCTTTTTATTACTATCATTTTCCTTCCTTTCTTTTCTTTTTTTATTTCTCTTTCTTTCTTTCTTTTCTTTCTTTCATTCATTCTTATTCACTCTCCTCTTCTTTATTACATGATTTTCTTTCTTTATTTCTTTCATCCTTTCTTTCTTTCTTTCTTTCTTTCTTTCTTTCTTTCTTTCTTATTCACTCTCCTCTTCTATATTACATCATTTCTTTCTTTCCTTTTTCTTTCATCCTTTCTTTTCTTTCTTTCTTTCTCTCTTTCTTTCTTTCTTATTCGCTCTCCTCTTCTTTATTACATCGTTTTCTTTCTTTATTTTTTTCATTCTTTCTTTCTTTTTTCTTTCTTTCTTTCTTTCTTTCTTTCTTTTTTTCTTTCTTATTCGCTTTCCACTTCTTTATTACTATCATTTCCTTCCTTTCTTTCTTTCTTTCTTTCATTCTTATTCACTCTCCTCTTCTTTATTACATCGTTTTCTTTCTTTATTTTTTTCATTCTTTCTTTCTTTTTTCTTTCTTTCTTTCTTTCTTATTCGCTCTCCTCTTCTTTATTACTATCATTTCCTTCCTTTCTTTCTTTCTTTCTTTCTTTCTTTCTTTCATTCTTATTCGCTCTCCTCTTCTATATTACATCATTTTCTTTCTTTATTTCTTTCATCCTTTCTTTCTTTCTTTCTTTCTTTCTTTCTTTCTTTCTTATTCACTCTCCTCTTCTATATTACATCATTTTCTTTCTTTATTTCTTTCATCCTTTCTTTCTTTCTTTCTTTCTCTCTTTCTTTCTTTCTTATTCGCTCTCCTCTTCTTTATTACATCGTTTTCTTTCTTTATTTTTTTCATTCTTTCTTTCTTTTTTCTTTCTTTCTTTCTTTCTTATTCGCTCTCCTCTTCTTTATTACTATCATTTCCTTCCTTTCTTTCTTTCTTTCTTTCTTTCTTTCTTTCTTTCTTTCTTTCATTCTTATTCGCTCTCCTCTTCTATATTACATCATTTTCTTTCTTTATTTCTTTCATCCTTTCTTTCTTTCTTTCTTTCTTTCTTTCTTTCTTTCTTATTCGCTTTCCACTTCTTTATTACTATCATTTCCTTCCTTTCTTTCTTTCTTTCTTTCTTTTCTTTTACTTTTTCTTTCTTTCTTATTCGCTTTCCACTTCTTTATTACTATCATTTCCTTCCTTTCTTTCTTTCTTTCTTTCTTTCTTTCTTTCTTTCATTCATTCTTATTCACTCTCCTCTTCTATATTACATCATTTTCTTTCTTTATTTCTTTCATCCTTTCTTTCTTTCTTTCTTTCTTTTTTCTTTCTTTCTTATTCGCTCTCCTCTTCTATATTACATCATTTTCTTTCTTTATTTCTTTCTTATTCGCTTTCCACTTCTTTATTACTATCATTTCCTTCCTTTCTTTCTTTCTTTCTTTCTTTCATTCTTATTCACTCTCCTCTTCTTTATTACATCGTTTTCTTTCTTTATTTTTTTCATTCTTTCTTTCTTTCTTTCTTTCATTCTTTCTTATTCGCTTTCCTCTTCTTTATTACTATCATTTCCTTTCTTTTTTTTTCTTTCTTTCTTTCTTTCTTTCTTTCTTTCTTTCAAAGAAGATAATTTAATGAAGACTTTCGGGCTTATAATACCTACGAGATTTATGGATGACAAGTGGTGACCCTTCCTCAATCGTATCGTGGCTTGATCTTGTATATAAATTAATCATAGTTGATTATTCGTTTCTTCCCAGGCACATTTTAAAAACATTTATGTTAAGCAAATAAATGACAAAGTGAAAAAAAATTTCTGTTTACGCATTTCGTCCTTTAGAAAGACTTCATTTGACGTGACGCGTTACGCAGAATATTTTCAACTTTGTCATTCATTTGCCTAATATTGTTCTGATATAAAAAAAAAAAAAAAAAAAATTATAAATCATATTCTTGCAAACATTTATGCGAAAATGAAAATACAATTCCCCGCCCGTCTTCACTGCCTCGAGCGAAGACATTGCACCAGTGAAGAGCAGGGATTTGACTTTTTCGAATTGTCTTGTTTCTGGACTTCATTGGGTCGATGCTGCGTTTAGCAAAGAAAGAAAGAAAGAAAGAAAGAAAGAAAGGAAGAAAGAAAGAAAGAGAGGAAGAAAGAAAAGCAGGCAATAAAAGAAAGGAAGAAGTAAAGCAGAAAAGAAAGAAAGAAAGAAAGAAAGAAAGAAAGAAAGAAAGAAAGAAAGAAAGAAAGAAAAAGAAAAGCAGGCAATAAAAGAAAGGAAGAAGTAAAGCAAAAAAGAAAGAAAGAAAGAAAGAAAGAAAGAAAGAAAGAAAGAAAGAAAGAAAGAAAGAAAAAGAAAAGCAGGCCATAAAAGAAAGGAAGAAGTAAAACAGAAAAGAAAGAAAGAAAGAAAGAAAGAAAGAAAGAAAGAAAGAAAGAAAAGCAGGCAATAAAAGAAAGGAAGAAGTAAAGCAGAAAAGAAAGAAAGAAAGAAAGAAAGAAAAGCAGGCAATAAAAGAAAGGAAGAAGTAAAGCAGAAAAGAAAGAAAGAAAGAAAGAAAGAAGTAAAGTAAAGCATGCAAGAAAAGAAAGAAAGAAGTAAAGTAAACCATGCGAGAAAGAAAGAAAGAAGTAAAGAAAGAAAGAAAAAATGAATGAATGACAGCTAGTAATAATGAAGAGGAGAGTAAATAAGAAAGTATGTAAGAAAGAAAAAAGTAAAGTAAAACAGGCGAGAAAAGAAAGAAAGAAAGAAAGAAAGAAAGAAAGAAAGAAAGAAAGAAAGAAAGAATAATGCAAACAATAAATTTTAAAAAAGCATGAAAGGGAGAAAACGGTTGCTTCCAGGAAAAAATAAAGAAGAAAGAAAGAATAAAAAAGAAAGAAAGAATAAAAAAGATAGAATAAAAAGGCAATCGATAAATAAATAAAAAAGGCAAAAACGATGCTAACAAAAAAGAAGAAAAAGGAAGAAAGAAAATATGTAGTAATAAAGAAGAGGAGAATGAATATGGAGAAAGAAAGAAAGAAAGAAAGAAAGAATAAAAAAAGAAGAGAGTAAAAAAGAAAGAAAGAATAAAAACAAGAAAAAGGAATAAAAAAGCAAGCAATAAAGAAAAAACGATGCAAACAAAAAAGAAAGAAAGAAAGAATAGAAACGAAGGAAATAAAAAAGAAGGAAAAAATAAAAACATGAAAAAGGAATAAAAAAAAACAAGCAATAAAGAAAAAACGATGCAAGAAAGAAAGAAAGAAAGAAAGAAAGAAAACATACAAAAAGTAAAGGAAAATAAAGTAAAGACGAAAGAAAGCAAACAAGCAAGAAGTAAAGAATATCAAGTCCCATGTTTACGGTTTCAAAAGCTGCGTCCAATGAATCTAACACGCCTGTTATTCCAGTTACATAAACAAGCCACGTTGTATGAAACGATTTTCTTTCAACTCGTCGCTTGATGAAAGATCAAAGAGGATCAACACAGAATTTCTCGCAAATGAGACATAACATTTGGATTTTGTTGAAAGCAGAGATGCAAGAAGCTGTCAACCGCATTCACTTTTGAAATGTTGACGGCCAACTATTTGTTAAATCATTAAAGACAATCGTTTATTACGCATCCGTCAGTGATATCAATAAAAGAAATTCTAACACACAAACTGAATCGTGTATATTCGTTATATGGCTGGACACGGCGGCGCTGAAAAACTCTCGGCTCGACCTACTGTTCCAAATCATTATTCTGATAGTTGGTCACTGAAATATTGATTTTGAAAAGTGGGTTCGCGTGGAATTGGAACTCAGCTCGGAAGAGACGAAAAAGCGTGTAAGCCATTTTTACTTCATCATGCCAAGATACATCTAATATATATATAACTATTTATTTAAAAATATGATTCCAACGCTACATAAGAGTTCTCATGTTTCAAGACAAGAGCCGAAAACTTCAATATAATTATTTGAATTAAATTGAATTAAAGTACTAAGCTCTGTTCCATCTTCAAGCGAATTTTATTTTAATAACTTATTCCTGAAATTTATTTTTATTTTATTTTATTTTAATAACTTATTCCTGAAATTTACGCGTTTTATAAGTATATTCATTGAAATTAAAATTACTATGGTAACGGCTAGAGCAATTGTTTAAAGAAAAGGGGCGTAAGGTGTTAATAAATATGTATCAATATCTCAGTTACATTCAAAGACGTCAAGTCAGGGTAAGGTTGGGGTGTCTAAATTTAAAGCGGAAGATGTCATCGTCTAGTCTGGTTAAGTGTCTATGGAGATTTATTTATTTTTTTATTTTATTTTTATTTTTTCTGAAAGGGTTTAGTGTATATTAAAAAAAAACTGTCGTAAGTCACTAACATTTGTTTTTTTGACGACTTCATAAAGGGTTATCTTTATTTTATTTTATTTTTTTTTTTTTGTAGGGCATTTAAACTATCTATTTAGCCTATGGAATTTAAAAATTATTTTATTTATGCTCTACTTTTGTATCGAGCAATATTTTTAAAAATAATAACAAAATGCTAAAGAACTTTGGATTATTTACCTAACGAGTTCTTTCATATTTTATATATATTTTACACACACACACACACACACACACACACACACACACACACACACACACACACACACACACACACATATATATATATATATATATATATATATATATATATATATATATATATATGAAAAGATATATATAGTCTGGTAAATGCTAACCAGACGACAAATTTTCATATATACATCAGCAGTGTAAATTGACTAGATTTTAAATTTGGATCGTATAATTATTAATTGTGTCTAATGTCACCACAAATGTATCCAGACTTTTCCGATGTCTGTCTTTTAATTGTAAGTCAACGAATCGGTAGTGATTTATGCAACTGATCATAACTCGCTCATTTAAACTATTATTTAACTTCTCTTTTTAAAACTTCTCTTTTTAAATTTTA